AACCACTACACTGAACTGGTTTTTATAATGTTCACTGGCTCCCATTTTTTTCTGGATCAGATTCAAGATGTTGCATTTAACCTAGATAAGCTTTCAAGGCCTAGAGTTGTGACATCTAAAGCAATGCTTCTTCCCACATTTCAACCCTCTTTCAGAGATGTATAATGAGTGCAATTTAAATGTTAGCATTTGGAACGGTCCTCAGGAAGGTATGATGGATATCATCTGTTCTGTGTTTTGGGTGTTATGTAAATATTCCCACTAGGCTTTTTAGTAATGATGATGTTGGGGTTCTTTAACCTTCTATCCTGTTTATTACTGCTTATTCCATATTTTATTCTATATAATTTATGTGACTTTTGAATGTACTTTCAGTTGTTGAAAATTATAATTGCAACTGCTGTATAAATTACTTGATTTAAAAGAAAAAGTATATAAAGTAAAAGTATATAAATATTTTAAATAAAATAATAAATATATATGTCATCAAACTATTTGCCTAATTAGCTGGTGGGTTTCTTGCTTTTGATCTTGCTTTGATCAAATCAAATATTTGTCTTTTATATTTTCTTTTTTTTTTAAACTATCTGGTTTTTCCCATTTTCTGTTCTTTCTGAATCATTATATTTGTAAGTTCTTTCACTTTTTATTGGTGATCATCTGACTTTTAAATAACACTTTGCTGAATTAGTTCCTATGCTATCACCCACTTAGGCCTTTATGTAACTTTCTGACTCTGTTGTAGAATTTCCAAAGAGTTTTTCTTATTGATCAATCCTACCAAAAAATTCAAAACAACTCCATATGTCTTAGATGAGACATTTCAGAGTACTGTTAATTAATTCCCTGATGTCACTGAGCAATGAATTTAAATATGTTGACATGCTGGACTTTCTGTGAGAATTTTTCCACAACTTGATTTTGATAACTATGGATTTTTCCTCCCCAAGTGAATTAGTTTTGGAATATTTTAATAACTGAGTAATGAATGAATATAAAACACTTTCAAAAATGCTATAGAAAGTAAAGTTAAACATTATTTTCAAGAGCCCCTTGGTAACTTTAGTCTGAGATGACAGAAATGGGGAATTTTGTAAAAAAACTGGGGGGAAGCCCATAAGGAGATAAGTGGCATGGGAGAATCCCTATGTTGGAAGGGAAACAACAAGACCTACTGCAATGTTTTTGTTCCCATGTTCTTTGCTGACCGTATCATTAAACAGTTTTTGGTGACTGCTTCAGATAGTGGGGATGATGGCAGTTGATTGTTCAACTCATCTTTCTACTGAGACTCTTCCTGATTCATTTTATGAACTAATTAAAAAAAAAGTGGTCCATAAATAAAGTATTGGATGGCAGGTAGAACCATTTTTGTTTTTGTTTTTTTCATGGTAAGAATTGTCTAGTCAGTCTTCTCTCAATTTCTTGGATATAAAGACAATTTCTCATATTGGCCTATCTCACATGAACCATAGTGCAGTAACTGTGTGACATGTCTTTGCTCAATCAAGGCAACTTAGAGCCATCTTCAATTGTTCCAATTTTAAAGGAATGTCACCCCTCTTTTCCTGAAACCAGTTTTACTGTGGACATGATCTAAAATAATGTGATCAGGGATTGAGATCTGCCAAGTTCCTGTTGTTCAATTTAGGCTGCTACACACATGCCTCCCCTTCCCTTGGCACTGTTTTCCAAGGTCATTCTATTTTGGTCAGAAGTAGCATCTGGTTCTTTCAATTCTCTCTCCCCCCTTCTCTCTCCACTCTCTCTCCTCTCTCTCCCTCATTTCCTCCTTCTCTCTCCCTGCCCCTTCCCCTCGTCTTAGAGGCCATTTCCATTCTGGAAGCATGGAGCAACCTGAGTAGCACTGGTAGCAATAGAAGGAGGAGCTGTCTAATATAGCAGGACAAAGAGAGCGTGTCTGAGCAAGTTAGTGTCCTTTTTCTGTTGCTTCAATATACTTCATGTTTGTAAGCTGTTTATATTAAATGTAGATATTAAGATATATCATTTACATATATTAATAGCATGGAAAGCTGTCAAACTTAGGAGAATCTGGGAAAATGAGTTTTTCCAAGTTTTTCCATGGATACACAATCTTGGTGAATAAAGAGTTGGCATGTCTCTTCTGCTTTCTTCCTGAGAATATTGCATGTAATGAGACATCACATTGTTTTAACTTGCCAGCACATTTTAGTTGTGTTTCTGGTTCTTTAAAATATGAGTTTAGTATTTTTTCAGAAGAATTGTAAAGACTTATTTAAAAATAAACTTTAAAAAGCTTTTATGCATTATATTACTTTGTTTTTAATACAGTTTTAATAATACTAATTATTACTGATAATATAGATTTAACAAAACTGATTATGTGCATAATTTAATTACTACTTCATACTGATCATTTTTTATTTCTTTGATTAATCTTTTTTCTCTTTTTTCATTTTCTTTTTACTTCCCCATAATGGTCCATAAAGGTACTCTGAGTTACATACTAACAATTATGTGACAATATTAAATTACAATTGGTAATATTTATAAAATATCGGAAGAGGCCTTTTGAATACTTCAGAATTATGCAGGCTTAAATTACAGAATTATTTTCATATTGAAAACAAAAACAAATCTGTCCAATTTTCTTGCTTCCTCAACTAGACAAAATTAAGGTAAAGAGAACATTGTTTAATTACATTGGTATTTTAGAAATAATATTATTGAAAATAATTTAGATTGCAACTACAAAGTACAGTAATTACAAACCATTAATCTTTATAACCTTCAATCTCAATAAGAAGTTACTGGAGGAAGTTCTTAAAGTTCATCCCAAGAAAAAACAATGACAACCTATAACCATTTTGAAACTCTGAAGAGGTGTAAATGATACTAATTTCTTAAGACTACTCAAAGAATTGGGATTTGCACAATTCTATAAGGTCCATACGCATAGGTTTGCTACTCCTTCATCTTTGAGTTAATAAGAGGAAAGATCCATATTTTCTAAATAATCTCTTCAGATTCCATCTTTTTGTAATTTCTCTATTCTTATAAATTTGTTCATTTCAGTGTATATTATAAGAACTGTAAAATCTGTTTGATTCTTTCTCCCTATAATGCATAGATAATTTCCTATCATGTTCTATCTCAGTCATCTATGTTTTTAGATTGCAAAGATCAAGTACTTTTAAATTTCCTTCTGGGAAATGTCTGAAGCTCTTGATCTTTTTAGCTATAGAACTTTACTAGCTCCATGGTTTCCTTTTAAGGGCTGAATAGCCACAACATTGTACTGTGGTAGGATGCTCAATACCATCATGAGATAAGTAAAACAGGTAATTACTGACATTTTGTCAGTTGTTTAAATGAATCCAAAAGAAATGGTGGGAATTCCAAATTCTACTGTATCCATCCATATAAAGGCTTTACAAGCAGTTTTATTTTTAATCTGTTTCTTGTTCATTCTGCCACAAAATCTGATGATTCCACATGGCTGTTAACAAGTGATTTGAGGAGGATGGCTTTAAAGTGGGTACCCAAGTAGGTTGGACTGGGATTTGCAAGAATTTTTGTGTGTTTTCTTGATTTTTTAATGGGTCTGCTTTATGGCTCCCATTTCAATTTTTCTCTGCTTCCTCTTCTCATTGTGGTGGAGCACTCTATCTTCAGATTTCAGCATTCATAGTGAAAGGGCCAAGCATCTTCCCTTGGCACTGTTTTCCAAGGTCATTCTATTTTGGTCGGAAGTACCAAAAACAGAGTCACAGACCCCTGTTTCATGCTATCAAAGCCTCCAATATATTAATGAGGTAAAACTTCTTTCAAGAAGTTTTACCTTCAGGTAGTGTTTGAAGGCATACACTACCTGAAAGGTAGTGTATGCCTTCAAACACTTTTTGCATGGTTGAAAAAGGCAATCACAATAAAAAATGTACTGTTCTTTTCAAATGGGAGAAAAACAGACAATCCTGATCCTGTCAATACATGGTGCAATCTTACACCCTGTTCATTTCAATTCCCATGCATGCGTGCCTGCATGCATGTATTCATTCATTCATTCATTCATTCATTCAATTTCATTTATGTGCTGCCTATCTCGTATCCAATGACTCTGGGCATCTTACAACATAACAATAAAAATCTCAATGATGGAATTAGTGGAGGTGATGCTTTCAGACATTATTTATCAGTTGTAACCTTCTGCATGTTCTCATTGCTTCTTCCATCTTTTTTCTTTAGGGAAAAAAAATCATTATAGAGGAAAGGGTAGGAGAAGGAGAAGCTCATCCTGGGTCAGAGTCAAGAGAGGAATGCAATTATTATATTCCAATAGGCAGACCAAGTCCAGCCACTCTTGAATTCCATTAAATCTTATCCAGTATCAGTTTAGTGCTGACTAGATTCCTGTGAATAGGTATGAGCAATAAATCTGTTTAACTGGAACTTAAAACATGCCCTCATTCTTTGCCCCTGACAGAACGATGATCATTCGAGAAAATCTTTTTTACCAAATAATTTTATGTTGGATAATAATATATATATATATTCATAGCTACATTTAATATAGCAAACCAACCAATAAACAACAAGCAACTCGTAATTATAGTGGGTCTTTTTCAAACCTCTTGTACTATGACTGATTTTTTTGAGGCATTGAGTTTCTCACATAAATGAAATATTGTTTACGAAACTGGGCAAGTCCCCAAATCCCATCCCTATACTCTAAGTGGAAGCTGAAATAGATTGCCTTACCTGGTGCCTTTTGTCAGTTTATCACTAGTCCTGTTCATTAGGCAGTTCACAGCAAAGGTGAAATTCAGATAGGGACTTTCTGATTCTGGAAGTGATTCCTGTGTCTATTTCTTAGATGTTCATTGCTAAGTGATAATGAATTACTGCTGTGAAATAAAGCTGAGGCTATTTCTAAAAGTATATTGCATTTCTAATTGGTAACAAGCAAGTTAGATCAAGAGATGCTCTTCTGTGTTTACAGATATACATTGACTTACCTGAATTACTATGCAGAAGCTCAAAAAGACAAAGCCAGAAAAATCCCTTTAAGCTGAACAAGTTTGGCTTGGTTTTCAGCGTATGCATCATTTCTTCAGTTTACCTGAAGAGGACCAACAAAAGTGCAAGAAGTTACAAAAAGCAAAATAGAAGTCCCACAAGATGAAAATGCTTTAATTCATTTCCTTCCTAATCTTATTATTTTGGGAAACCTCGATTTGTAGCCTGCATTTCCTATAAATCTCAAATTTGGTCATGGTGGTTGGAAAATTTAGAAGATACAATTAATTACAGTAATACATGCAGAGAGCATCAGAATGCACAAGGCTAATTTGGATAAGATTATAGACAAATATACCGATTGTTGCAGCCTAATGATCTAGCACCCCATAATTATTTTTTCACCTCTGTAGGAATGCACTGTACTATACTATGCGTTTAGTAAATGGTAGTTAATTAAAAAAAACGTTGGTGAAACATGGACTTCAAAGATATACAATTACTGTTTGAAAGACATTATATAATTGACATAGAAATAACAAACCAGTGTTAAATCAAATTTCAAGAATCAGCTCTAGATTTATCTACTGTAATCCACAAATTCATCACTATATTGTGGATTAAAAGATGAAAAAGACATGTACAAACATACAAAAGTTTTGGGGTATGTGTTTGTATGCTCAGAAAATGCACAGTCATCTCTCTCTCTCTCTCTCTCTCTCTCTCTCTCTCTCTCTCTCTCTCTCTCTCACACACACACACACACACACACACACACACACACACACACACACACACAATTTGTCCTAAAACAAGTACTTTGGAGCTTGGTCTGAAAACAGACTGAAAATTAATAGAATGATACCTGTAATATGAAGAACTTGAGCAAATATACAGTACTGAGGAGAAAACCAGGTAACAATAAATTTAGAGGCAATGGAAAAATTAGAATAGACTATAGAAATTCAGATTTAAATAGGAACTGAGATAAAATTAAATTGTGTTAATGTAGTGCTGTATATAATTTGAATTCAAGATTCTATAAATACCCATAAAGAAACAAGTAAGAACTATTTTAATTTCCATATCTGCTAGGGGAAGTTATTAAGATGTAAGAAGGAAGACATAAGTAATATTGGGATGGTAAAGATTCTAAAATGAAAATCTTATATGGAAAATATGAAAGAAATAAGATTAAGATTGAAGTGGCAGATCAGGTGTTACCAAATATACAATAAAAGGACGTATCAGGAAGTAAAAGAAAATTAAATATTTGTTCTTTCCAGTGGAAATTAATTATTACAGTGGATTGATTATGATATTTAGGAACAAACAAGCAGTTATGGTTGGATCTCAAAAATGAGTTCCATGCCCCTCTCTTATCTGATCTCTGCAGATCAGGTAGTCACCAGGTGAGTAGAAGGTAACTGGTGGCCTAGATAACAGCAATCATTTCAGCACTAAGAATCTTTGTTAATTTAGGAATATGGGTAAACTGCTAATGGTCACTGCAGCATCCTATCTTTCTTATTTTTAAACAAAGAAGGTTTTTCCACATTGCTGAAATGAAGTGCTATCCCACCCATCCTTGAATTAGCAGAAATCTACTTGACTCAGAATTTGCTCATTTCTCATTCTGAAACAGTACAGTACAGTTTCAGTACAGTTGAACTAATGTTCTTTCAGGATAATCCATTACAAAATGTAAAAAATTTGACCAAGCTTGAGGCTGTCCTTAGATGGTATCAGAGTACTGTAAACAATTTAAGCCTGTTTCACTCATAGATGCTAGACAAGTAAAAGTCAACATCATAGTGACAGTGCAGAGTATTTTGCCAGTGCATATTTGTGCTAAGGTTCAATTCATTCATTCATTCATTCATTCATTCATTCATTCATTCATTCATTCATTCATTCATTCAATTAATTTCAGGTTCACTTGACTCCCAGATGATTCTAGTAGGCTTCAAGTGGTTCATAATTAAGTGTTGTTTGCATGAATCTACACATACTTATGGATGTTTATTAAATTGGTTGTTTTTCTTCTTCCAACTATATAATCTATAACAAATGGTTCTTATTCCCAAGCAAAAAATTATTCTCAAGTTATTTGAATGCTCTGCAACTAAAGTAACTATGTATTTAGAAGGAAGACCATTAAATCCAGAGCTAGTAGTGGTTGGAGGAAAAAATTGCTAGGTACATTTCCTTTCATAATTTAAAGTATTCCTAATAATCCTAGGAATTGAAAGGGGAAAGGAAAATTCTAAATTTTGATGAAATAATAGATTAAATGGACCTTAAATAAATAATCAGTTTTGAATTATCTATTTGGAGTACAGCAAAAGATAGCAAGAATAAGGAAGCAAGAAAATCCTTTATAGTCAACTTACAGTAAGCAGAATCTGTGATTAGTCGCTTGCACTACAAATCAACACTCTTCTTTCAGCTGTCTGATTTACAAAGTCCCAAGTCACCAATTCTTTAAACAATGATCACAGTAAAAGGTTAAAAAAAACCTACATGTACCACCCACACAACTTCTCTTTTTCGATGTCTGAAATATTGCAGCTTTCATCAACACTTTCCATTTCATGAGAGACAGGCTGATAAATCTAGCAACTGTACTAATCAGCAATATGATCCTTAAGGAAGTGTTTTTGACTTATAAATATGAATTAGTAAATGTAGGCTTGACGTATTAGTAGCTGTGTTGTACTTTTACATTGCAAATATCTCATGCTATATAGACCACTTCCTAAATTGTTCTGTTTTACATTTATTTTTCGGTATTATGTCATTAAGTCATGTGAACGTGAACTTCCTTGTTAATTTTCCAGAAAGCAATTCCATGCATTTTAAATTCCATGCATTTTATGAACTCCTTTAAGAGGTAAAACTGCTGGGTATTTATCTAGTGAGGACAATGTATAGTACTGTATGTAAATGCTGCTTTATGTAGAATGAAAAGAAAATTATGTAGTCAAAGAAAATCAGTGATAATATTTATATTGATATTAATTTCAGTTTTAATTATATAATGGGGAAGGGAAATCCACTTTTTAGATCAGATGTCTCCAACCCATTTTTTTCCAAAAATGCAGTTACAAACCTCTGAGGACTGGCCATGCTGATTGGATATTTTAAGAGTTACAATTTAAGACTATCTGGAAATTGTTAGATTGGGACAATGATTCCTACTACATTCTGGAATCCTTCCCAAGTATTGTATTAATAGGGCTGCAAAATCTAAAATTATTAGCACCATTGAAGCTGCCCCTTAAGTATATTTGGAAGAAAACAAGAATGAAGTGTAATAAATGAAAACATTTATTTATTGAAAATATATATCACTACCGATCTACTCTGGGTGATATGCAATCTATTTGCTTATACACACACATATAATTTTTAATGTTGATAATGTGTATCTCACAATCCTGACTAAAAATGATTCAGTACAAAAAAAGAAAAAGCGAGACACTATATCAATTTCACAAAACTGAAGCAGATATATTGGGCACTCTAACAGCCTAGCACTACTATCTGGAGAAAAAGCCAGATTTTAATTACCTTCCAGAAAGCTAAAAGGTTCAGAGCCTTCAGATCTCAAAATGCATAATCAAGACAAGCTGCAAAAGTCACTCTCCCAGTATTGTTTTTAAATATTTGCTATGTATTAGATATTACTGTGGAATTAAGTTTTTCTTTTAAAAAAGGAATTCTAGTAATGCATAAGCTTTTATGGCAGAGAGTATCTTCTTGTTTGATGTGAAGAAGTAGCATTATAATGTGATTTGAGGACTGTTTGTGTTTTGATCTACTTCAGTAACAGAAAAATTATCTGTCCGTGGAGATTCTCAGTCACCAGATCTTAGCTGTCTCAAAGTGCTTTTTTAAAAGGCAACTGGACTGTTTTTTTCCTGATTTTTTTTTTTACTGAATTTGGAACACCATCAGAATTTATGAAGCTTCTTGGATCAGAAGAGAAATGTTTTCGTTTTCTTCTTCCTGAAGGAAAAAAAAACCCAGTCCAGCTGCCTTTTGAAAAAGCATATTTGAGACAAAAAAGTTATCTGTTTAAATAATAAGACAAATTTTGCCTTAGCGGGTTTTCTTCTGTAAACTGTAAAAGGTTTTTCTGAGCTTTTCTGTTTTCCAAAACTGAGGGACTGGTGAGTCTTTCATTTAAACTTTTTTCAATTCCTCTATCTAAACTCATATATTGTCTGGATTTTTTAAAAACATTGACGGGCAGTAGGACATGTATTTATATTAACTACAGACAAAGTGGGGATTTTTAGAAACCAGATTTACCATGAGTTCTGAGAATACTGAATAAAATGGATCAGAATATTTTCAGTATTTTACAAGAGACAAGACAAACAACTATTCAATATTCCTGCATGATAGGGATGAGTCAGTAAATTATTGAAGGTGTATAAGACTGTGATTTCAAAGCATTAACCTTAAAGCCCATTAGAAGTTCTTTAAAATCTGATCAATTATTTTCAGAGTAAATTTATTTTCCATGAAACTAACACATATTTTAGCCTGAAAGGGGAAGCATGTACAGAAAAAGAGGAAGATTCTCAGCATCAGGCACATTTAAGAACATTATTAACAGTAATAATGATAAACTCAAAGAACTTTAGAGGAAAACCAAGCGTGCAAAAATAAAATAAAACCAACACAATTCCAACAACCAGAAATAAACAGATGCAGGAAAACAAAGCAACAGTAACATTGCTGAAAATAAAATAAATAATCTGAAAAATAAATGCAAACAATTAGTTGATGTTTCCAACACATTTATCCATGAGAGAGTAATATATCGGGATAACTCCAAGCTTTACAGAAAGATAAAAATATTTTAAAGAAAAACCTAAATGGTTGAGACACACACAAAATTATTCAGCAGGCTATTAAGAATATTTTGCCTCCTCTTTTGCAGAATTAAAAAGATTTTTTACAAAAAAGGAGCAAATTCTGTAAATTGACTACTGAAGACACTTGAATTAGAAGTGCAGAACTGCAGAATATTAAGTATTAGAATATTATATCCTGAAAGGAACTATAGTTATTGCACTAGAGTGGGAAATA